GAGCCATAAGATCACTTTTCTTTATTGTTTAGTAAGTGTTTTTTAATGAAATGTACTGCTCTTGTTATATAGGACTCAAAATAAAATCTAAATCACTGTCCAATAAAAGAAAATTATTGAGTTGGATATCTAAAGTTACTACCCAGAGGCTACTCTGGTACAGTATTTATAAATCTCTAAACAGTTAAGTATAATTGTCTTTCTGGTTTTGGGGAAGAAAGCCAAATAGCAGTTTTAGTTACAACTGAAGAAAAATATTTTGTGATGTTCCCGTTCATCTAGTGGGTAAAACAACAAGTAAAATTCCCACAACCTAAGACTCTGAAAGAGAAACAAGAAAAACTAAAGGGGAACAGTCAATAGACGCTACCCAAAGAAGAAAGGATGGAAAGGTTAACAGGACGAATGAAAGGAGAATTACTGGAGCTCTCCCAACATAACTCCCACGGCAGAGTCCATCTTGGACTCAATCTCCCCAGGTGCTTTTGAAAAACATTATGGCTAGGAAGCACAAATGCTTAACATGGATCTAATATTCTTTGGCCTTCTCTCCAAAATACTTCTTGATAAAATAATCTCACTTTGTATTTGAGGGGACAGAATGAGAATCAGGAAGGATCAAGGGACAATAAAAGAATCTCCAGTACCTAAGAGTGATCTTTTTTCTCCACCACAAACATACCACTTTACAAACCTTTCTAGGAAGACAATCAGTCCACATCTATAAGAGGAACTGCAAGATAAAACAGGACTTGGCTTGTCACAAATAAGACATCTGACTGAGTTTATGAGTCATTTTGTGAAGAGGTGGGCCAAACTCCAAATTTGCAGCATTTTGTATCTCAGAAGCTGAGATACCTCAATGAAAGTGAGTGAATGCTTTCAACATGAGAACTTTCAACAATAGAGTTCCAATTTGAAAGAATTTGTTATTTTTGAGCAGAATTACGCATTCTATGGGAAGGAGACTAGCAAATCCATCCAGAACAGTTAGTAAGCTTTTACTTCTACAGAAGGCACCTTGTTTCCATTCACAGTTCTGTGTAGTCATGCATTTGGTCATATGTTTATAGACAGCTGATGATGAACATAGATTTTGCAACTTAGATAGTTTACTGTCATCAACTCTGGGTACTTCACGGTCCTTCGAAGCTCTGTCCAGAATATTTTTTTTTGTTTCTGTGCCTTGGAACTGTGAGCTATTTTTTCTTCTTCAGGAGGTCAAGCCAGAGCACTCTGCTTGGTTAAGATGCAATTATGGCAAGATCAGCTGGGACTCAATGCAGGCAGACCAGAGGATAAAAGTATTGTCTAACTACTTATAGAAGGTCCAGATAATTAACGCTACCCAGTCCAAAAGCCTGGGAATATTTTAACACTAGAAGGAGACATTAGCAAGTCTTTATTCCTGCATGAGAACGGCTGTGTGCGTATTAAGTTCATTTTGAACTAATAATGAGAAAATCCTTTGTTGATATAAACCAGATTAATTCAGTAGACTTTCATTCAGCAGTTTATCCATTGGGAACTGGTGGCCTTATTACAGAAGTTTCCCTATCAGGGAGCCTTTCTGTCATAGTACATCCTCCTTCTGTAAGGCCTTTCCTCTCAGATTGCATCTGGGTTCAGTTGTTGGTGCAATGCAATGTCCCTGGTTGGAAAGGGCATTATTGGATGGATATAGAAGGTTGGCTAGTGATTAATGTTCATATGCCTAGGACCGGAAGTGACTTTGCTGTTAAAGTAGATGATGAAGGTGAGCCTCTGGGGAAAAGAGAATGAAATCCCCAAATTTGTGGGTTCTTTTTCTGCTACCAACTTAGAACAAAGGAGTTACAGATATGGCCCTGCGCTTCAGCACTAGCCAATGATTATGGCTTATCTGATGGTTAAATAAATTTGCATCTTGCTTTTTAAGCCAGACTTGTTGTACTGGTGTCATCTTTTGTCTGACGCTGGAGTGAAATAATCACAGATGAAAACTGAAAAGATCCTTATGCATTCAATAAATTATCAATTAAATGACTGTATTTTTTTTCTTTTTCAGAGGCATAAACATAAATTACGTATCAGGTGTTCATATGAGATTCCACTGCTTAGTGACTACAAAATTAAACAAGCTTATTACTTAGAATAGCAAGAGCATGGTTACACTATATATGGTTACCCTCACCAAAAATCTCACAGCTTAGCCCATAAGTTTCTTGGGCTGCTCACATATTTTGTTTTGTTTCTTCTCTTTTTAGCACCCTGTCACAGGTCAACAGACATTCTTGCACACATCCAGATATTCTAATGTCAGTGTTTCCTATGATCATTAATAGAAGTCTCATAAAAGAACAGCACACAACACACTTTCAAAGGTGTTGGTGAGAAATGTCTTAATTCAAAATCATACATTCAGATCTAGAAAAATTCAGACTGTCAATACTTAAGGTTTGTACTAGCTAATGTGTTTAAGATAAGTAAGCATGTCAAACAATACACAAATGTTTAAACCAAAGTAATATGACAACTCGCTCTGTAAATAAAGGTATGCAATTGTTAGTAAGGAGTTGTGAGGTGGTTCCAGTATGCTGCTTGTTGGCCAGCAAAAGTTGAATCACCTGGTTTATATAACTGTCATGATAGTTGTGTCCACCATACGTTAAAGTCACATTTCATAGACAAAAATGTCACATTGGATATAATTTCCAGTAAAGTTTGTGCTATCTACAGATCTAATTGCTTCTGACAGTCTAACCATTGTATTTAAGGTCTTTCAAGAAAATGTACTGTACTGAAAGCAATGCAACCCATTCAGGAGTTATGACTAGCATAAGCAGAGAATTTCCTGGGAAGATAATTATTTTCTGAAGCAACTGGTTTTAGAAGAACCCCACCCTAGTCAGTGCTCCCAACTAAAACAGGGTGCTGGTTACCTGCCTAATGTTATGCCCCGTTTCCCCAGAAAAGCTACAGAAAGTGTCACCTTAATTTTTTTACAGGCAGACTGATATTTACCTGAAGAAATGTCCAGAATTTCTAAGTATGTGCTAATCTATTGTGCTCCTGCTTCTCTGCATTAGCACCATTGAATAGGGGCTGAAGGGATTTGGACCATGGCCCTAGTCTACATCTCCTGACAGAAGCTATGCAGCAACCTGGATATTATTGAATCATAGAACAATTCAGGCTGGAAGGGCCATCAGAGGGTCTCCAGGGTCAGCTATGAGGTCAGATCAGGTTCTTCAAGGCTTTATGCAGTCAGGTCTTGAATGCCTCCAAGGATGGAGAGTAAAAAATGACAGGTGTTCATGTGGTGCACAAGACTGTTATATTGCTAGGTTTTTCCATCCTCATTGAGGGACGGTCTAAGATCCAGTGTACTGCCAGAGGTAAAATACAAGAGCCAAGCATTGTATTTTAACTAACCTCTGAGCAAAGGCAGAAGAAGGACATTCTCTCAGACTGTCCGTGCTCAAGAACAGGAAGGAAAGGAGGAAAGGCATGAGACAAACAAATTCTATTTCTTGATGATTTTAACTATGCGTGTAATAGGAGTCTTAGAGAGACCCACTAAAGAATAGCCAATAGCCTGGTAGCAAAAATACACATCTGGTTTTGAGATACAAAATTTCAAATCCCAGCTCTAAATCAGCAAAACAAGGAAACTCCATGCCTGTCTTCCACTTCTTCAATGAGTTTCCTAATCATGACTATAAGTTATCATAGTGTGAGAAAGTCAATCTCACAAATTTTTAAGGGAAGACCTATGAAATATTTGGAGTTGTATTGCTTCCGGGCCACAGATTTGAAACTTCAAACACCCATGGGACTGAAAAAAACACTTCCTCTTCTTCTCTAAATCTACTTGTTATCCAGAGAGCTATCCAAAGTGACCTTGAAAATTTCAAACTTTTAGTCTTCCAGTACAATTTAATTCCAGTTTTATTGCCAATTCTAAGGAAGAATTTTCCACGTTCAAGAAGTTTCTGTATTTAAGAAGTTACATTGCTGCCTCTGATTTTTGGCTCATAATTCCGATTTCCTGATCAGAGAGTAAAGAGGAAAAACTGAACTTAATCTTAGTTCTCACAGTCCTTGAGGGAAAACTATCTCTAGGTCAGGCTCACGGGGAAATTGCAGAACAAAGCACTATTCTTTCTACACCTACATTATAGCAGGGCTAGATGCAAAGGGAGTATTTACTGTTTACTGCAGCACTTAAGAGGTTTATCAAAGGTTGGACTTCAGCTGCATAAGCTGGAAGACCCTTCAGGGATGGGAAGATGATTGTTTTCACACTGATGGTCTTTGCCAGGGTGCTTATGACTGCTTTGCAGCTGCTTTGCACAGGCACAGTTGGTGTAAAATAGCCTTTGGCTACCTATGAATCAGTCCCCTGCTCTCAGTAAAGACTGAAAGATTTTGTTGAATGTCCTTAAATGGGATGAGTACATGTCAAACCACGTGAAGTAATCAGCTTTGAGTTAATTCTAAGTGGCTTTTTGAGCAAGAAGGCACAGGAACTGTAAAGAGAGCCTAAAATTCTCCTTTTTATTTTACTTTTTGGCTTGTATTGCTCAGCTCTTTTTCTCTGTGGTTGCAATGTGCTTTACATAAAAAAGAAATCTTGTTAGACAGAAGCTTCAGGTATTCCGAAGTGAGTATGAGTTAGCTTTGGCTATATAACCGCAGCTGCCCTGGTAAGAAAGCCACAGAGCCACAGGGCAGGGCCGGGTGAAAAAGCAATAATTTTATATATTTTTTTTGGAAATTTTTTAAATGAGAAAAAACATCAGTTTCACGTTCATTCATTTTATCTCTGCAAGATGTGCTTTGTGATGTAGCAGAGAAACTACGTGACTGTCCCTTTAAAAGCCATCATACCAATCAGCAGGTTTAACTGTCAAGCAAGCTGATGTAGGGCTCTTTGAATTACTGAGTGAGGGATATTCTTCCTGCCAGGTCCTGTCCCCTGTAGGCACTGCAGAGAAGTATTATAGGGCAGTCCTTACCTTGGGAATTAGCCTGCAAGACCCCAATGCTGTCATCAAACTGCATAGATTTGATGTTGAGTGACGCCAAGATGCATTCCTTGTCCTGCAGCGAAGCATCATCAATATTATTCTGATTGGCTGACAGGATAACGCACATGTCGCAGAGGTTGATGTTGACAGCCCTTAAATCAGCCCGACTTAATGGCGTACCCTTCGGCACAGGGAAAAAAAGGGCGGGGGGGGCAGGAGAGGAAAAAAAGAAAAACAAATTAAAGATTGAGAAGGAGCTTTGGGAAATTATTTAACAAGTATCTTTTTTATGCTCTGACATTAAGCTGGTCTAACTATGTGCCAGGGAATAGGAGATGTGTGCTAATCTAAAGGGTAGTTGGTGCTGATGGCAGCATTTTAGGTTCAGTCTCAATACTCAGTCAAGCTATTACTAACAAACAAGAAACAGGAATAATGCCAGCATTCTACATCTCATCGGTGACTTGAAATTGTCTTGATTTAAGTTGCTATCATGTGGCAACCTCTGGCTCTCCAAATATAACAAGGAGTGTGTTTTAAATGTCTATTTATCTACCACCAAGTCGCAATGGTCTTGGGCAAAAGAACAGCAATTTAAACAGGAAAGCATTATGTGTCCTACACATTTGAAATGCAATCAGGATAAAGCTATTTTTTTTACTACCTGGAGCAATGCACAAAAAAGGTTAATCCTTTTCAATGCATGTTTTTAGTCCTTCTAGAAGGAAAAGACACTGATCTTCAAAGTTCTGTGATAAAACCCTTTGAAACAGAAACAAGACTTTATCTTAATGGGCACAACTCATGCAACATTCCCTGCTTCCACAATTTGCAATCAGAGAACAAATGCAATAACTAAAATGAAATGTTATGGTAGTCCATGGGGTTTTTTTTCATAGTCAACACAACCGAGACATGACACTTAACCCATTATGTTTTGTTTAAAGGTAACACTTGCCTTTCACATCCAACAGTCCACATCTCTAGTTACAGAATATTAAGTCTATGTCACAGGGGCTGCAAGGTCCAGGAAAAAAAAAAAAAAAAGTTTTTTTTTGTGGAAACTAGATTCTGCTCTGCTGCCTGACATGGTTTGGTACCCAAAGACCCTAATGATGATGAGGAAACTAAGATGTCCCCTTGTCACACAGCGACTTTCATAAAACCAAGTCAAAACCCTACTCTTCCACCTCCTGATGACTCATGGTGAATGTCTCCTGAACTCCACTGGGAATATTCGATACAAAATTGAATTTAAAAAGCACAAAGTGGAGGCAGAGCTCAATTCTTATGCAGTGATTGCCATCTAGTTTCAGATAACCAGCCTGACTATTCCACGTTACTTTCAATAATTTGAGGCATGAAGCCTTGTGGAAAACAGTATATATTAAACAGATATGATTTAGTTATAAAGTACTCAAAAGTTAGGATATGATTATTCCTGCCACCTTAATTTAGCCCTTTGTGTCTGTACTGTGCATCAAGTGAAGCAGGATTCCTGTGGGGAAAAATAATATGCAATCATGTGATTAATTAAAGGCTTACTCCTAATGATTTTATGCAAAGGGACAGAATTAAGGCTGCCTGAGGATATTTAAAATTGGCATTTGCCTACTTTTTAAGAGTTTACTTAGCAGCTTAACTGCCTCCTTTAATACAGATTTTAAATTAAATTTCCACTTTAAAAAAAAAACACAAACAAAACCAAAACCAGAATAAATGTTTTCACATCCAGCTGTAACCACATCCCCATCAGACAACAGCAGCAAGTTTTACCTCGTGAACCAAAGCACAGAGAAGTAGGAAATGAGTTTGAGTGGCCTCCCTTTAACACATGATTCCTACTGGTATGATTTCAGAAACTTTAGTAGACTTTTAAATTAGTATAATTAGATCAGAATAATGCTAATATTTTTAACTTTATATCACCATTTTGAACCAGATATGCTAAGAAGAAAAAAAAAAGAAAAAGCAGCAATGAAGTCTGTGAGGGTCTTCAGCACCCCTGATGTAAGCACTATGTAAGAAACAATTCCTTTACATATTCTGTATTTTTAAAGGTGCATTAACTAACTACTTAAGCTGTTTTAATTAGTCCAAAACTACTCTAACGTTGGGTGCATACTGACTGGGGAATATAAAGGTGGTGTACATTTCCTTAATGCCTCTTCAGAATTCAGAATCGAAACTTTACAAATATGCATTATAATAATGGATACACTTTACATACTTGATAGTTTAGAAGTAGGAGCTGGATTCTATTCTGCTCCACACTTCAACAGTATTATTAATTTAATTCTGATTCCTTAGTCTTTAGCCTTCACAGTGACTGGAGTTAAAAGGGATTGGCAGGAAGAGGAGGATATTAACTGACCAAATCTGATATTGACACCATTTTCGTGACAGCAGAGAATCTTGTGACACTGCCTGTTGGATCAGTTTACAAAAAAAGCCAAGGGCTAACACTAAAACTGCATTTACAGTAACAAAGATCTACAGCCTGAATTAATCAAAAAGTGAAGGCAGTCTTTCCATTCTATAGACTTATTCAGTTGAGGTTACATCCATCATTGATTTATTTATTTTTAACTGCTGAAATGTAATTATTAAGAACTGGTAAACTCATAATTTTTCATTCTGATAAAAACATCCAAACTAACTTTACTCTGTACCGTACAGAGCATTCTCTTTCATACTAACACCATGGGCTCATTTCCTTCCTGCCTACATTTCTGTGGGTCATTTACAGCTATGATCACCTAAGATCACTAGCTTGGAGGGCTTCATTTGTTTGTCCTGGAGCTCATGTTTCCACATTTTGGGCACATGAGTGAATGATAATGATTTATAAGAGAAAAAGGACCTCTGAATTGTGGTTTTAGTGGTTGTCTCTACTAAAATCAATAGGAGCTTTTCATTGATTTCAAAAGGGTCAGGGTTTTGCCATACTTCAATACAAGAGGATGGCAGGACTCTTGTTGAACTGAAATGCTATGGCAATGTTCCTTATAAAGTAGGCCAGCCTACAGAAAGGTTTTATGAATACCGATGGATATTATGTAGACAGATTAACAATAATTTGTTTTCAAAGATTTTATGGGTATAAATATATAAAAAACGTCATAAATAACTACTGTCATTCTGTCAGGGAAATCACAACATCAGAACTGGCTACATGCAGTGCACTACAGTGAATGCTCGATATATAACACAGCTAATACATTTGATAGCAGCTGAAATTCATCCGATGAGGATGACGAGGAACCAAACACAGCGGCAAATATCTTCTAATAAGGTCTCACAGGGCTCTGTTTTCATACAGACAGTAAAGGGAAAATCTAAGTCCTCAGGCCTATAAGTAGACAAAAGTAAAAAAGCCTAAGATCAAAGACAATATGAATCTGTCCAGTTGGTGTCCTAAATAACAAAGTATCAATAATATGGCTTTGGACTTACAGGCAAGATTGAAACCTTGGGGAAGTTATGCAGTGTCTCCCATTCCCTTCTCAGGTATTCAAGTGAACCCACAAACACAATATGCTTGAGTTCATGGTAGTGAAAGTTGCTGGCTCGTAATGGCATCACTAAATTTCTTAATCCAATCAAAGCAGATTTAACATCCCCAAATATGCAAACGACTACATGCCCACTTAAAACTGTCATCGCTGCTTCACTTCGAGTCTAAAAAAAAAAAAAAAACAAAAACAAAAAGACAAGGGAGAAATGAAACAAAGGGAAGCTTAAATCATATATTGAGTTTTAAACCAGGAAAAACACAACTGTCAATATTTTTCATGCACAAAGACGCAGTTTGATAATAGCTGTTCATTTTACCCTTATTTATTCTTCATTAAACGTGCTCAGCAGAAGAAAATTTCATTCTTGTTTGTAAATCCTTCAGCATTCGGGAAGACATTGTACTGGACCAAATTCTGGTCCTGTATATGTTTCTACACATGTGGATTAAGACTGGTTACAACCAAAGTACTGTGGGTTTAGCTAAGAACAGAATTTGACCTACGATGCATTAAGCCATTAGAAGGATTACAGAAAAGAGATGCAAAACCAGTCTTAGCTGACAATTCACTAGTGGGTTTTTTCCAGGACCAATTTGAAAAGGAAAATGTGAGTGCCCAATGGTTTTAGTAGGGCTTTGCGGTATTACACATATCTTGTGAATTGAGGACCAAATTCTCTTAGAGTCAAAATTCTTATTTTAGGACAAGCTGCCACTACCCTGAGAAGCAAACAAAGAATGCTCTGCACTGTGCTGCTTTACAATGGATACCCACAATACTCCTCAGAGCTTCTGTCAGTAAGGAAAAACTAGTGGGCAAGATCATGACTGATACTAACTTTTCAGATCCACTGGACTTCATGAGTTGTTGAATAGATAGAAGGAAAAAAAGTTTCATGGAGAACATTTGAATGATATTCAGAATTATCTTCTTGTCTCAGTGACAAGAATAAATTTTTGCACTAATTTCATCTGTGGTAATGTCAGTTGAACAGGCAATTCAAACACCAAGATGAATAAATAAAGTCATTACCAAAAAATGACCGTAATTTCTGGAGCCAGTCTTAGCATTATTGCACTCCATCAAGTAGCTGCAGATCCACTGATATCATATTGCCAACAAGTTGTACGCTCAGTACCATTACACAGAAGTTTTGCCCATGAATAAAACTAAGACAACGGTGAACTGCAAAATTTCCCCCTTGCTTATCCATAGCATATGCCCTTTTTCTAAATTATGGAAGCACGTTATTGTGCAATGCAGACTGGAATACGCAGCAGAGGTGTTCACTATGTAAGAAGAACAGGAACTCTGATTAGAAGTTTTCTCATCTGTTAAAAAATACACAAGCTTTCAACTTCTCTGGGGCAATTACGCTGATTTTAATACAACTCTACTAAGAGAGTGGTCTCGGCCTTTCAAACAGCAGAAGGCATAAGTGAATGCTCAAATGAAGCATGCAAGCTGTCCCATGCCTCTGCCTACGGGTCTGGAATACTCAGACTTTACAAGACAGAGACTAAGTCTTGAAAGAAATTATGTAAAAAATGTCACTCTATAATAGTCATTGATCTGTACATAGTCATGTAAATTTGACTGCATGTCAAATTAAGTTCTTACTACCTGATACTGCTAGAATCTCGCAGAGCCAAAACAGACCTTGGGCAGAAAAATTAATTCTTTTCTGATTGAGGCATCATCAAGTATCAATTAGAAGACAACCTGGGAAATCCTATCATCTTCAAATTATGTACTAATTTGTACTTGTGTGGTCTCTAAGGACAGCGTTAATTTTGCATGGATATGAATGCAGACACAAATCATGGACTGTGAGGTTGAAAAGGTGCAGGGAAGCATTTTGCTGGCAGTGTCTTTTTTGGTGATGATGCATGAAGTAGAAACAACCTGGCCAGACTTGCAGATTCACAGGCTAGTAGAGGAAAAAACTGACACGGTGTCAGCAAGAGATGAAAAAAGAGGCACTCCACAGCACCATTTTTGAAGAAACACTTTACAAAGTGGGATAATATGTAAAGGTTGTCAGCTAAAATGCATTTAGAGCATGAGGGCATGTTTCTATCTCTGTCTATTACAAAGTATTGTACAGTAGGGCTGCCCCTCCTTGACGGCTGAATACATATAAATGCATATTATTTAAAGCTGTTCAGCCAAACTCCATCTCACGGCTCAGTCTCTAGAATTTGGAATTTACTTGCTTGACTGTTTAAACACCAATATTGCAATTCCAGGCAACGTCACGGTTATTACTGAAACCCCTGAGGAGAAGTCGAGACAAGCTTTTAACCCCTGACTGCTAGAATAAACCGGGGCTGTCACCATCGTCGCCTACACTGTGCCACAGTGCAGGAAAATCTAAGAGAGCAGGTTCAGGAAAACCTTTATGAAGTGCGACAAAGTGAAGATCCACCAGGGACTTCATTTCAAATATCATCAGTTTTGTGTATGAGATCTGGAGTTAGTAACTTGTTACTCTTAGGTATGAGTACATGAGCACAAGTGGCACAAACTTTCATCGAGCAAAATAGACTGTGATAGGCCTTCTAATTATTTTTAATGACTTGAGTCAGTTTGATGGTTTCCCCAGTTAAACAAATGAAACAAACATAGACTAGGCTCACTGCAACATGCTAGAGAGGCAGAGTAGTAGTACTACTTACTCTGGCCTATTTGGGCATCTCGAGATGTTGGAAATTGAAAGAGAAGTTCTAAGAGAGCAAAATTCACATCAATAAGTAAGAGATAATGCAAAGCAACACTTGCCTGTATTAGAATCATTACTGCTTTGTGTAAAGAGATAAATGGGATGTGTAAACATTTAAGTATTTCCAATCTTAATTCTCTAAAGACTTAAAGCAAATTTGCAAATTTCAGCTTATGAAAGAAACTCTCTATTGTGGACCAATTTTTATTGTTGCATGTGGCATACAGATTCATGTAATCAAAACTCTTTAACCAAAATGCCAGCTTCGATTTCACCACGCTGCATTTCCGATTTTGATTCATTGGATTTAATGATAGTAGAGATTTATTTATTTATCCATTAGACACCAGTTCACGGTTCAAATAACCTCTTTTCAAACACAGCTTATCATCAATACCTACCAAAATAACCTTTTCAATGTCCTTGGCTGGACACCAATGAAACATCCCTGTAGAGTCATATTTTTTCACATTGGCATCCATATTGTCAATCTGTTCGTTGCCAGGAATTAACAAGGGGTCATGCCTGGGGAAAAACAAGTTGAGGACAACATAAGTGGAAAATATTATGAATTATGGATGGAAAGATATCCCAAGAGCTGTGTTCAAAGAGGGATACAAGTAAAAAAATGAAATGTATTTACACTTTAACATGCTTTCAATGCTCGCACTTTTAAACAAAAGCTGAAAAGAAAAAAAAGTTAATTTTTAAATTTTGGGTGTAGTTTCGAAGATTTTCTATACTCTTTCTGCACCAATTACCATTTACTTTTAAACAAGGCTTTCTAACACCATCATATCCATAAAAGTTTTTTCTTTCCAGTCTCACCCCTCCAAAATAAATATTGGAGTTGCTATTAAGCATCTGCGATGAAGTAGAAGGGATAGGAGCAAAGCCCCATGCTGACTGACTGGCATAAGTATGGAAAGCCAATTACTTGCTTTTACCACATACAACTTCTGACGTGATGCTCTTCGCAGTAAAAGCTTTAACAGGCTGCACTTTAAATATTTTAGCAATTTGCCCAATCATATTTTGCTTTCCCAAACTGAAGCCCTTTAAAGATTCAACAGTATGTCATTTTAGAGCAGCCTGACTAACAAATGCCCACATCTGGAATACATGATTTTAATACCAAACAACAATGTCCATTTTCTCTGACAACTCTACCTGTGATAACCTTCTAAGTGTTTTTGCAGCAAGATTTTAAAGCACAAGGCTTCTCAAAGGAGAAGCAAATAAAAGACATTTTTGTAAACTTGCTCTCCAGCTATATAGTTGCATCTAAGCACAGACACATACAGTTCTTTAATTTATGTGCTAAAATCAAACATTAAGCTAAGTACTAAGTGACTCCAACACTCTCAGATGCTAGTGAGGACCCCTAAGTGATTGCATTGTACAATAGCATTAGAAGGAGGACCATGTTTACCAGGCATAGGGTAAACTGACCCTAAAATCTTAAATTCAAGGAGGGAACAGAGCTTTCTCTGGCAAAACTAGAAGTCTTTACTTCAGGTTTTTGTCATGAATGCTTGAAATATCCTGATATAGAATTGTAACATTTCAAAGATGAAAATATTTGCAATGTGGGAATATGCTAAGTACTCTCAGACAGGTAGCAAAATTTTAAAGCAGTTTGCCTTTTGAAGCCTGTTAAAGAAATGCTCATATTGGGTGAACCCTTAAAACTGGAAAGTTTACTGCTTTTAAAGCACATGAGCCAGCACACTGCAGTAAGAATCTCTCTTCTGAATTGTCTACTAAAGCGGACTTTGAACACTGTGTATGACATAGGTTCTAACATAGGAATATAGGATAAGTTACCATGCTTAAAATAGTTATGCTCGCAGGTCTAAGAAAGGTATAATCTCTAATTCCATCAGGGTGATTAATTTGTATAATTTTATAGCCACTGATTAGATATCAGTTGAAATGAGTGGAAAATTCTCATTCATTTCACTTAAACAGGGTTAACTCTATAGAAAGCGACTTAAAAGAACTTGAGAAGCTGTTCCATTTAAACCAGAATCTTTTGATGCTTTAAGAAAAAGCAATGCACTACATAGCAAGGCATAAATCAGACTCATCTGGAAAACCAAATACTACATTTTGAAGTTTTTTACATTCACTCAACAGAGATACAGCTCGGTGCATTTCACTATCAACCCTCCTTGGCAGCACAGGAATCTCTAGGGGACTTTGACTCTACTTCAGGTTGAATAGTGTAAAATAGTGTAAGGCCTTGCACAAGTGTGCATTTTATGGGAAGCAGAAGTGACTTCTTGATGCAAAAGCTGTACCAAGTAATTTATTGTTTTTTTAATTTCTAGAAAAATATCTAGACTCTGCGTTCTCTTACTCCAGCCATTAGCAAGTTGCAGCCATGGTAGTTTTGGCTGAGAGCTAACTATGATGCTGTTCATGGGGCATCCCTTGCTGCTCATGGCTGCATGTGGCACAGTATGGTCTGCAAGCATGGATTCCATTTGAAGGGTGCACACATGTTCAGACATTTAGTGGTGCTCTGTCCTAGCTAATTTTTCTGATGGAAATTGTTAGCCATGTGTTTCAAAGTAAGCACGTTTGCCAAAAGGTTGGGAATCTTCAGGAGATTCACTCAGAAATGTTTTTCTTTCAGTTGTTTTTGTGTTTTTGTTTTTTTCTCAGTCACAGAAATTATAAAAATTGAAAGGAATCTTACAACTAAGCAGGTGATAACAGATATCTGACATCAAACTATGGACAACTGCCTTGAGGTCTGAGGCAACTGGTGTTCCTCAGGGGTTGGTGCTGTTTAACATCTTTGTCAGTGACATGGACAGTGGGATCGAGTGCACCCTTAGCAAGTTTGCAGATGACACCAAGCTGTGTGGTGGTGTGGACACGCTGGCGAGAAGGGATGCCATCCAGAGGAACCTTGTCAGGCTGGAGAGGTGGGTCTGTGAGAACCTAATGAAGTTCAACAATGCCAACGCAAGGTCCTGCACATGGGTCAGGGCAATCCCAAGCACGAGTACAGGCTGGGTGGAGAATGGATTGAGAGCAGCCCTGAGGAGAAGCACTTGCGGGTGCTTGCTGAGAGAGTCGGGTTGTTCAGCCCGGGTAAGAGAAGGCTCCAGAGAGGTCTTGTAGCAGCCTTCCAGTACCTAAAGGGGGCCTACAGGAAAGCTAGAGAGGGACTTTTTATAAGGGCATGGAGTGATAGGACGAGGCAATGGCTTTAAACTGAAAGAGGGTAGATTTCAATTAGAGATAAAGAAGAAATTTTTTACAGTGAGAGTGGTGAAACACTGGAACAGTTTGTCCAGAGAAGGTGTGGATGCCCCATCCCAGAGGTGTTCAAGGCCAGGTTGGATGACGCTTTGAGCAACCTGATCTAGTGGAAGGGGCTCCTGCCCATGGCAGAGGGGTTGGAACTAGACGATATTTAAGGTCCCTTCCAATCCAAACCATTCTATGACTCTATGGTTGTTTAACTCCCTATTGACGTTTGAGGTAACAAATGTGATTTTTTTTTTGGTTTAAATTTTAAATTTTTTTAATATCAATACATGCACTTATTTGCAATATGATAAATTGTTTGGATCCTCTGCTTGACTGCTTGGAGTACAGCAAGTGGGATCCTTAAAAGAAGCAAACAGAATGGGACGCACAAGAAAGGATGCTAATAGATATTACTGTACTGCTTTTGCTCTAGGAGAATGGATTATTGCCTGAGAAGGAAACTATGATAAGACTACCACACGTTGTGTTTTAGACTATGTGGGTACTACTTTTAAGTGTGTTTATTAAATTTAAATCTTCTGGGCTAAGCTATTATTTTAATCTGTCTTTAATTAATGATTTTTCATTCTCAGTAAAGCGATTCCTGAAGACATCTATGGAGGTTGAAAACTGTTTACTACTATGGTCCAACTTAGTCCTCACATGTTAGAAGATATGCTGGTTTATGTATTTTAAAAACTGAATTGATCTTTGCATTTTTATATTTTTTTTTAAGCCATGGTCATTTTATGAAGCAATACAGTAATAAAATAGTATTACTACTTTGGACATATACATTCTTGTTAATCTGATGATCTAAACCTGTTTTGCAAATACTAAAAATTAATTAAGACAGACATACAGAGGCCGAGGCTGTCAAATCTGCCTAAGGGGTTTGGACACCCTCTTCCCATTAAAATTTGTATTACACAAAGCATTACAGTTGTTACCCTTACAGCAAAATCATGGACTGAATGTTTCTAGAGCCTCTCTGCCCCCTCACCCTTGAAGATGGCCCTGTCAAGCCATGCTTGAGTCACATTGGCAGGTTACTGTGGAAACGCCTGTGTAAGCGCTACAGCTATTACGTTCTCTAGGGCTGTAAAGTCATCTGCTTGAAAAATTGAAATTATAGGAAGAAAACTACCTTCTGTAGATTAAAATCCATAGTGTTTGTTTTAATTGAGATGTTGGATTTTACGACTTGCAGCAACGAAAGCATTTGGTTATTCCAGGTAGGAAAAGATAGGCATATATAGCATGCATGGGAGAAAAGGAGCAAAAGTTAAATTTCCCTCATCCATAACTCTAGTTTAAAAATAGCTTCTCTGGTTCTTATGGCAGATATTACATACGCATGACTTAAAACAAAGAGCAAAATATCATCTTTTCAAGGTTTTGAAGAGCATATAATGCCACTTATGATCAATTAAACTTGAAAACGATGCTAAATGCCATGCTACAGCTGCAACCCCAAAAAGTCTGCCTGGAAGACAACAGCCTAAAGCAAAACCATAAATCTCACTTCAGCAAACCTACTGCGAGGAAGTCAACATTATATTTTAAAGAGCACTGCTTTCCTAGCTACATTTATAAATACTGCAAACTTACCTACTTGGGAGTTTTTGAGTCTGGAACTTCTGAGTAATGACTGGCAATGGACAGAACTGAAAAGACCATTGGGGAGAAATGGCTGCCTCATTAAATGACGATTGTTTAGCACACTCTTGTATTCTGTCACCTTTATCTTAACCCTCTTACTGTCATTCATATGCAACTGAGCATTAGAGCAACATACAATCATTGATCTGCAGTGGAATTGCTCCATATGTTGAGCACTGGGAACCAGAATACTGTATGACCAGTAGGGACCCTGGTGTTGTCTGAAAAACTGTAATCTGTTAGTCTTTGCACATCAGTAAAACAATGACTTGGCTACTTTTTCTTCTGCCCTCCAATAAAATTCTTCTTATATAAAATCAATGGCAAAATACACCTGGGAACAACACAACTCCTCTTCAACCTGTGTTTGACAAAGTCTGCAATTATGCCTTTCTCAGGTAGATATAACATACCTTGATTTTGCCCACAAAAAGATGTTTAGCAGTCTCCTGCTCAAGATTCAGGGGCCTGAAACTCATCTTGTGTGTGGTCCAGGAATTTTGAGTTTTCCTACCTGACTTTGTATATGGATGTATGTTTGTGAGCGTATGCACACACAATTTTAGGAGGAAGGAGTGGGTTTGCTGAAGGTAAGA